ATTGGGCTCTCTGGCCATGACACCTTAAACCCTCTCTTCCTAGGGGGCCTCGGGGTGGAGGTTTTGGTCCTTAAACTTTAGGGCCTTTAGGGTTTAGGGGTTTAGGGTTTAGGGTTTAGGGGTTTAGGAATACATACACACCCCCAAAAACGTTTACAGTTCTCCCTTGTGGCGTCCAAGCACAAGTCCTGAAATCCCAAATCCGAAAGCCCTCCGCTAAATTCCAACGAACCCTCAAGCTCTCAACCCTCAATTCCTAAAGCCGTAAACCCCAAACCCTACATTGCTGAACCCTAAACTCAACAATTCCTAACACCCTGACAACCCTAAACTTCGAAGCTAAACTACACTAAAATCCTGAAATCCTAACGGCCCAAACCCTAAACCCTAAATGAATTGCTAAAACCTAAACTCGAAACCATAAAAAACCCTAAACCCTTGTCTTAAAACCCCAAATTCGCCTAAATTCCTAAGGCCTCAGCTCTAAATCCCTAATCCTAAAACCTAGACTCCCGAACCCTGTACTTTAAATTCCTAAAACTCCTAACCCTGAAGGGTAAACTCTAAATTCCTACAGACCCTCCAGCTCCAAACCCTAAACCCTCAACTCCTGAACACTCATAACCTAAACCCTGGAACCCGAAATTTCCAAAATCCTAATTTTAGGGGTTTTGTACTGCCCTAAACCCTAAAGCCCCAAACCCTGAACCCCAAACCCTCAACCCTAAAGCCCCAAAGAGCCTCTCGACGGTCAAGCTCGAGCCCTGGAGGTCGCGGCGGACCGCCAAACCTGGCTTCCGAGGCTTCTCGGGTTCCTTGTAGGGTTTAAAGTTTAGGGGTTTAGGGGTGTGAAATCTTCCGTAACAGTTGTCGATCATGTACCTCTGACAGCTTTTCCTCGTGACCTGGAGGGCTCGAGGTCCGAAGGCGGGAGGGTCTGGGATTGCGCTGTGCGCACATGGACCTGTGAGCTGGGAAAAGAAGGTGAGGCCACCTTCGTTCTGACAGGGTCAGTTGGACATTCCATTTACTTCTGGAGTCGGGGATTCTGGAAACCTTTTTCTGTTCATTGATCAGGGATCAGTTGCTGCCAGTGCGGACTCACATCGAGTTCACACTGGTAGCGGAGCCTGCCGCTTCGCTACTTAGCGGAAAAGCTGTACTTTGAGACAGGTTCTTCCAGAAGGACTGGGAAAGCATGCCTCCCAAGGAGACTCAGGCAGTTTCAGCAGCTGCTCCTGTAGACTCAGGGGGCTTCCAGCTCCCATGGACAGCAATTCCGAAGTTCAATCCTGGAGTTACAGATGTCACAGAGTACTCAAGTAAGCTACAGTTTCTGGCGGCTATGTGGCCTCCAGAACACCTTCCCCTACTAGCTCCCAGGGCGGCGCTATTGTGCGAGGGGACGGCGTTCAAGAAGGTGTCGAAGATTCCTGCAGAGAAGCTCAAGAGTTCAGATGTGTCTGGTATTAAGTTACTGGTTTCCACATTGGGGGGCTCTTGGGGCAAGACTGCACTGGAGGAAAAGTATGACACTTTCGAGAAAGCTATCTACAATACAGCACAGAAAGCAGATGAAACCAACGATAGCTACCTGGCCCGACACGATGTTCACTTTGAGGAGTTGTTGGCCCAGGGAACCACCCTAGAGGAGATTCGTGCGTATATTTTGCTGCGACAGTCACAATTGTCTGCAGAGGACCGGAAGAAGATTGTGGTTGAGATGGGTGGAAAGCTAGACTATACCAAAGTCTGCTCGTCGATTCGGCTCTTGGGATCCAGGTTCTTTTCAGATTTGCAAGGGCAGCGTGCTACAAGAACCAAGACTTATGATGCCAATATGATCGAGGAGACTGGCTTTGAGGAGCCAGAACGAGCTTTGCAAGCCAGTGCCACCGGTTTTCAGGACGACGTCGAGCCCGAGCTGGACGCCGACTACATGGAGGCCTTGATTGCAGAGCAGGATCCGGATGCCATGCAGGTGCAAGGCTTTGAGGAAGAGCTTGAAGGCTTCTTCCAGGATACTCCAGATCTCCAGGAGGCTCTGGTTAGTTACCTGGAGGCCCGCCAAAAGCTCCTCTCCAAGAAGCGTTCCCGTGGGTTTTGGCCGGCCAGTTCTGGTAAGGGAGGTTTCAAAGGATCGAAAGGTCAAAAAGGCCGTGGCAAGGGAGGCAAAGGCGGGCGCGACCAGCTTTTGGCCCGCATTGCCAGGAGTCACTGCCGAATCTGTGGCGCCAAAGGGCACTGGAAAGCAGAGTGCCCACAGAAGAACAAATCCTCGGCCTCTACTGAGGCAACGACCACCATCGCCGAGGCAATTGGTGGCGACTTGTATGCGGCCACTGCAGAGCCTCAGGAGAACGACGAGGTTCTCACTCAGGTTCCAGCTGCTGCCATGAGCCTTGCAGAGGCCCATGTAACCTGGGAAATCATGAATGCACAGGGGGTTAAGGAAGGGTTAACTAGGCTGGTGAATAACCTCCAAAGGACCAACAAACCCCTCTTCTTCCCAAACAGGCGGAAGCGCACTGGGGCAACCTCCTTGACTGACCCCGTGCGTGTGAGTCGATCTAAGCCATCTGCTGAGCATGAGAGTGTGCCAGTGCCTGTGATGTTCAGCTCAGCAGCCACAGATGCAATTGTGGATACCGGTGCAAGCCGCTGTGTGATGGGCAAGAGCCTTCTGAAAGGCTTCCTCAACCAGCTGAGTGGTGCAGTCAGGGATCAGGTTAAGATGTTGAAGAGTGCTGTTAGGTTTCGCTTTGGGAATAACCAGACTCTTGTCAGCGATCGCCGACTCCTGATGCCTTTCCAGACTGCATCCCGACAAGTTTTGTGGTTGAGCGTTGAGGTGGTGCCAGGGAGTACTCCTTTGTTGTTTAGCAAGAAGGCCATTAAGCAGCTAGGGGGGCTGATAGATACTGAGACCAACACCTGCCACCTCCGTAGATTGCAGAAAAGCTTGCAGATGCGCGAGGGTCCTACAGGACTCTACTTGATCGACCTCGCCCGACTGTGCGACGAAAGTCACCAGACTTCCGAATGCCTCTCAGTGAGTGAAGACCACAGTCTGCAGACTTCTCGCCAGGACCTTTGCATGTCAGAAGCCCAAACTCCCAATCCTGGAGAGCCGTGGACTAGCACAGATAAGTCGTGTTTTTCAGGAAGTTTGAAGGCTTGGAATTCAGAGGGTAGAAGCTTCAAGCAGCCCAAAACCGTTAATGATTGTACACAGAATCCCGAAGGGTTTTCAGTCCGTGAAGTGCGCACTTCATTTCGTGATCAGGAAGTTTCCACAGCAGCCGTGAGTGGAAAACCTCAAGCCAGCAAGAGGCCCTTCCCGAAAGTTTCTTCTTTGCCGAAGATACCTGATGGCCCCAAAGAGCCTTTCCGCCTCCAGCAATCAACCCGCTTCGGTGGGACAAAGCCTTCGGGCCCGGTTCTGCCGTCTCCAAGACCCCTCCGTGAGCTACACCAAGGAGGAGCTGGAGAGCGTGCCCATGGACCAGCTGGGGGAAACGGTGATCCGTTTCGGCAAGGCCATGAAGGGTCGTACCTTTCAGGATGTAGTCCAGAACGAGACGGACTGGGTCAGCTGGATGTTGGACCACATGAGCTCCAGCACCAAGATGGAGCATGTGGCCTTCCTCACATATGTTCGCCGCTATGTGGAGGAGGCCGAAGCGACCGAAGCCACGCTGCTTCAGACCGAAGGCTCCCCGGAAAGCCGAGGAGCTTCCGCCAAGGCGACCGCCAAGAGTCGCAGCCAGCCGCGTCCCGAGGCAGATGTGTGGGACGTGATATCCAACCACGAGACCGCCGGAAGCGTTCTCCAAGAGCAGGTGACTGTCCTGGGGGAACGCCTCGGACAGATGGAGCACCTGATGCAACAGTTGATTCAGCATGTCAGCCAGACCCCGCCGTCTGTCTAGGTGAGATTAAGGATTGCCAAGAGGAACTCGAGATTCTAGTCGCCCAGAATAGATTCCTTCCCGAAATAGAATCTAAGGCCCAGCACCTTCTGTCGGAGCAAGCCCCACTAGCTCGCTTGAAAAGCTTCTTGAGATCGGTCCCTTGGCAACTCTTAATGTCCCCTAATCCCCCTCTGCGAGAGTGTGTCACGGGCGGTTTGCCTCAAGCCACTGACGACGTGAAGGGCTCAGCTTATGTCATGTTCGGAATGTTCATGCACGGGGGGGTGACTGGGATAACAAAGGTTTCTAAGTTGTATCCCTACTTAGCCCGTGTACTCACCCGGATTGTCCAACTCAGCACGAGTTCACCTCTGTCGGAATCTCCGTAAACAGCATGGCCCAACCCCATAAAGATAAGTTTAATTCCCGAGATCATCCCAACCTGGTGGTGCCTTTTGAGTATCCGAAATCCGGGGGAGAGATTTGGGTTGACAAACCGCCACATGCTCGCCAGAGCGCTGCTGAACGGGTGTGCGGCCACGAGCTGAAGTCAGGTTCCCTTCAAGTTTTAAAGCCCGGGATAATCTTAGACCCGCACACCTGGCATGCCAGCCAACCGTGGGAAGGGAATCGGGCTCTCCTTGTGGCCTATTCCCTGAAGCCTGTTGCAAAGCTAAGCGATGAGGATCGAGGATGGTTAAAAATGATCGGGTTTAGGTTGCCTAAGAGCGAATCTCTGAACTTAGTCGAAAACCCAACGTCTGATATGGTTCCCGATAAGCCTGCCCGACAGATGGTAGCGACCTCTCCTTTAAGGTACGAGTTAGAGATGGCGCAACACCTGTTGCAGCCATCCTCGATCCTTCAAACCGCTGCCACTGCTGTCGATGCCTGTTCCGATGCGTTCATCCGTGCCAAGAAGACAGCCTGGGATGCCTTTCAAGATTCGCAATTAGCCTACCAGTGTCCCGTGAGTGAGCAACTTGATGTGCTAGAAATCTATGCCGCGTCAGACAGTCGATTGTCTGAGACTGTTAGGACCCTTGGGGGCAAGGCTCAACGGTTTACCCTAGGCGATGGCGACCTTAGGACCATCGAGGGTCAACGCAAGTTGTGGGACGTGCTTCAAGAGACGCAGCCAAAACATGTGTGGCTGAGCCCCAGCTGTCGTGCCTGGTGTTCTTGGAACAATTTGAATGCGTCACGCAGTGACCAAGCTGCGGCAAGAGTGCGGCAGATGCGCCAGGATGATGAAGTGCATCTCCAACTGTGTGCCAAGATCTTTCAATGGCAGATGTCTCAGGGTAGGCACTTTCACCTGGAGCAACCTGCTCAATCCAAGATGCTAGATCAGATCGCCTTTAAGCCAATTCTAGAGGGTACGCAAAAGGTGATAGTAGACTTGAGTACTTTTGGGTTGAGAACTCCCGTGTCCCGCACAGCCACCCGCAAACGGACATGTCTTTTGAGCAGTTGCCCTGAAGTGATTCAAAGCCTGACCCAGATACAGTGCCCGGATCATCTGCCCCACTCTCACTCTGTTGGCCGTGCTCGGCAGCTCCATGGAGCTCCCGCAGTCCGCTCTGCCGGGACGTACTGTCGAGGCTTTTCCCAACATGTGGCGCAAGCAATTTTGCAACATGTGAATGCAAGTGCCCTTGCCGTCGACCCTATAATACCCCTGACTAGGAAACGACAGAAAACATCCCTGAGTGGAGCAGTTTCTTATAGTAGATTCGGTGCCCAAAAGGGAAGCCAGGAGGTCTCCTCGGAGGGAGCGGTAAGGAGCCAAGCACAACCCCGCCTAACCCATGATAACACAACTAAACCTGAGCGATCACTACTAGAAAATGTGTGGAAGCCAGTTTTTGAGCTGATCCCAAAGTTTGCTAGCAAGGTGGCCCCATCTCTAGTGTCACCACAAAGTAACGTCATAGAAATGATTCAGGCAGCCCTACCTGAATACCAGGTTCTGCAAGTCTTTGCAGGGTGTGCTAGCAAACAGCTTCACTGGCCATTGGGTGCTCTGCCAACGACCGTCGCTCCGTGGCGAATCAGCATCTACCAGCGGACCAAGCCTAGCGGTCAGGTAGAATATGTAGGCCTAGAGCCTGAGTTGAGGGGATCTGTTGACAGCAAACAGCGGCGCGGTCGGATAGGCAACACAGACTATCTCGTAACCATCCTGGCCCAAAAGAAGTCGAGAACCTCTAGCTCGGAAGCTAATGCGCCTCTGTCTAGTCCCGCTGATCCCCCAACCTCTGAATCGAGCGCTGAGCCGAATTTAGAAGGCTGGGCACCGCCGCCAACGCCCATTCATGGTCCAGCGTTTCGAAATCTCGATAAGGAATCCAAGATGTTGTTGATTAGGGTACATAAGAACCTGGGCCATCCCGCGCCGACTGTGTTGTCTCAGCATCTCCGTGCTGCCGGCTACGATAAAGCACTGGTGGACGGCGCTTTAGAATACCAATGCGACACATGTCTGGAATCGACTGCGCCCCGTCACCAAAGGCCCAGCAAGCTCCCCGAACCTCGAGAGTTTAACGAGTTGATCGGTGTAGATGGGTTCTACTTCAAGAGCCAATCAGGATATAGGGCTTATGTGGTACATGTTCTGGATGAAGCTAGTTGCTTCCATCAAGGTCGCCGGACCCAGTCACGACATTCTGCTGAAGCCATGCAAACTCTCAGCGACTGTTGGTTCGCTTGGGCCGGAAATCCCCGCCGTATCTACCTGGATCCTGCTGGAGAGTTTCGCTCTGATCAGATCTTAGAGCAACTTCAAGGGTTGAATGTTCAGACCTACATGACAGCCGCTGCTTGGCAACGCGGACGTCTGGAGCGTCATGGCGATGTTGCAAAGGAAATGCTTAGCCGCCTTGATAAGGAAGTGCCAATTATAAATGATACAGCCTTTGACAAAGCCCTGACACAGGTTTTCCAGGCCAAAAATGCCCTTGTTCACCATTTGGGGTACTCTCCGGAACAAATTGTGCTAGGCAAGTCCATACAGGTTCCTGGAAGCCTCACGTCCGATGAAGGCCTTGCAGCTCATACTCTTGCTTTAGGGGATGAGCTAGAAGCTGAGCAACATCGTCAGCGTTTAGAGCTCAGATGCGCTGCTCGCAAGGCATTTCTTGAGGCTGATAATTCGCAAGCCATCAGGCGAGCGGTTCTCCGTCGGAGCACGCCAGCCAGGGGCCCCTATCCTGCCGGGTCCTGGGTTCTCTACTGGACTAAGAAGAGTTCACCAAATAGATTAGCTGCAGGTCGCTGGCATGGGCCCGCCAAGGTGATTTGTCAGGAAGGTCAATCCATTGTCTGGGTTGCTCATGGACCAACCATCTTAAGGTGCGCTCCCGAAAATCTCCGTCCAGCATCACTTCGCGAATGGCAGCAGTTGACTACTTCGGATTTGGAAGGTGCTACGAATCGTGTTGGTGGAGCGAGCTCCTACTTAGACCTTACTAGCACAGAGTCCGAGAGAGCAACCAGCCAGGAACCCGTTCCACCGCCTGCAAGCGTGGACTTTCCCACGCCTGCCAATGCCCCAACCGATGTTCCCGTTGCTCGAGAATCTAGCAATCAGGAGTTAGACATTTCCCAACCCGAGCAGGAGCTAACTCCACAAGTTAGCATGCAAAACCCTGATAGCTTAGATGTCTCTGGAGCACCTGAAGTTGAGCGCGGTCCCGCTGCTCCTTCAGTTTCAACATCTTTAACAGGCCAGGAAATTCCAATGCCCTCCGAGGTGCCCGCTCCGTCTAGTGTAGATGCCTCCACAGTGCCCATTCCTGAATCCGACGATGGCCTGTCGGTTGAGCAAGTTCTGTTGACTTCTGAGATAATCACCAAAGCGGACTCCGATGGGCCCGAGCTTCTGTCTTTCAGCACGCTTGAGACATCAGCTTTTGCCGAAGGTCCACCCCTGGCAGAGGATAATCTCCCCTTCATAACAGAACCCCTGGAGTGTCTGGGGGAGCAGGCCTTTTGCTTAGAAATTCCCATGAAGCCCAAAGATCTCTGCCAATGGAGTCAAGAATCTTCGCCGGAACAACTGGCCACGGTTGCGGCAGCTGGCAAGCGAGCCCGTGCTGAGGTCCGTGTAAAGGATCTAAATCGGGCTGAGCTTGCTCTGTTCGACCAGGCCAAGCAGAAGGAGCTTCAGTGTTGGATCCATACCTCTGCAATCAAGCCAATCCTCAGGCGCAAACTTAATCCTGCCCAAATTTTGCGGTCGCGATGGATCCTAACCTGGAAGGATCCTGAGCCCGGAGAGTCTCAGAAGAGAGCTAAGGCTAGGTTAGTCGTTTTGGGATTCCAGGATCCTAAGCTGGTTGAGGTAATGAGAGATGCACCCACGCTTTCCCGAGAAGGGCGCTCCGTTGTATTACAAACCATAGCATCCTGCGGCTTTCCTCTGAGCTCCTTCGACATCAAGACTGCATTTCTTCGAGGGAAAGCGGATGAAGCAAATCCACTCGCGATGGAACCTCCTGCTGAGCTCCGTGAGTTGCTGAAAATGCCAGAGTCTGAGGTGTGCCAATTAGTGGGTAATGCCTATGGTCGAGTAGATGCACCCCTCCTGTTCTATAAGGAACTGTGTAAGCAACTTAAAGGCCTTGGGTTCAGTCCTCACCCATTAGAGCCTTGTGTATTCCTTCTCAAGACTGGAGCCCGGCTGCGAGGAATTCTCGGCGTGCATGTGGACGATGGTGTATGTGGCGGAGATGAGTATTTTCTAGAGAAAGTGAACCAACTTCAGAAAATCCTGCCTTTTGGGAGTCGTAAGCATCAGGTTTTTATCTTCACAGGAATCAAATTAGAACAATTTCCGGATTTTTCCATAAGAGCCTCTCAGGCTGAGTATGTTCATAAGATTCCTCAGATAGATATCGGCCGTCCACGCCGACTGGCTCCGGATTCGGATGTGAATGAATCGGAGCGGACGAAGCTCCGAGGCCTCATTGGCAGTCTACAGTACGCCGTCACCCACACCAGACCCGACATGGCAGCCCGTCTTGGCGAGCTTCAGTGCCAGACTTCGAAGGCAACTGTTCAAACTTTGCTTCAAGCAAATAAAGCCCTTAGGGAAGCCCAAGAACACCATCAGGTCTGCATATACTTTCGCGCCATCCCCACAGAGCAATTGACGTTCGTGGCATTTGGAGACGCGTCTTTTGCGTCGTCTAAGAACTTGAACTCCCACCAAGGAGTCTTAATCTGTGCGACCAACGATCGACTTAATCAGAACTTAGAGGCCCCAGTTTCTCCAATGACCTGGTCATCTAGGAAAATCCCGAGAGTCGTTCGCTCGACATTGTCAGCCGAAGCTTATGCCATGTCAAAGGCAGTTGACTTGCTCGGATGGGTCCGTGCCTTATGGGGGGTCATTCATGTCCCGAACTTCCAGTGGCAACAGCCAGAGATAGGATTCAAACAACTTCGTACGGCCATTATAGTCACTGACTGTAAGAGCTTGTACGACTTGGTCACCAGACTTGCCATGCCATCATGTGAGGAGTACCGCACGACGCTTGAAGTTCTGCTCATAAAGCAGAGATGCCAAGAAAACACTTGTTTTCGTTGGGTGCCGACCACCCTTCAAGCAGCCGACTGCCTCACCAAAGCAATGGACTCGAGTCTTCTTCGAGCTGTGTTGGCCCGCGGACAGTTCAAACTTTATGACCCAAACCTGTCTCTTGAGAAGGATGCGCAAAGAAAACAGGCTATTCAATGGCTACATTCACCTCCAACTTCCTGATCAGCCAATACCGCAGAGCCAGACACGGAACGAGTTTGTTTTACAAGACTCCTTGAAGAAGTGCTGAGCTGGAGAAGCTTAGCCCATGACTGAGTCTTCGTACAGAACTCCCCTAACAACGCCTTCTAGTCAGATGTACTTGATCGAAAAAGAACGGTCAGTGTGAAATCTTCCGTAACAGTTGTCGATCATGTACCTCTGACAGCTTTTCCTCGTGACCTGGAGGGCTCGAGGTCCGAAGGCGGGAGGGTCTGGGATTGCGCTGTGCGCACATGGACCTGTGAGTTGGGAAAAGAAGGTGAGGCCACCTTC